TTATTGCATTGTGTACCCGTAACAATACATTTAATATGCAACGCAAGATGAATATCAGGTTGTAAGCACAGCGATGTAATGAAATACTAATTGAATGGATTCACGACGAGTTTTGTTTCTGTTGCGCGTATTGTTACAAATTAAGGATGTATTGGCTATACAGTCAATCCCAAAAGTTTATGCACTTTAGAAACGCATTTTTTAAAAAGAAATCAGACGTCGGAAAAACATTGCTAATCATAAACAACAAAAAAAAATTTTCGATTTTTCCGAGATTTTTCCAAGGGGTACCCCTTCAATTTCTTTCAAATTTTCGTTTTTGGCCAATAACTCCCAAACCGTTGGACATACGGGAAAATTGCATATGACCTTTCTTGTAGAGGATGGTGAGATCTACAATTTCGATGTAAAAATATTTCGCTAGCGTCAATAGTTAACGAGTAATTTGCAAAAAACTGTTTTTTCGTTTTTCGTCAATAACTCGTTAAATATTGATGCTAGCGAAGAATTTTTATACAGAAATTGTAGATCTCGTCGTCCTCTACAAAATGACCCTATACATGCCCCCGTACGTCCATCCGTTCGGGAGTTATTGACAAAAAACGAAATTTTTTTCCAAAAGTTGGCTGTTTCGACGCTGGGATGGTCGGATTTTGTCAACATCAATAAAATGCCAAATAATCATATGTAACTCATTAAATATCGAAGTTAGAAGAAAAATTCAGAGAATCTTTCTTGTTGAGGATGTCAGGGCTTATAATTTCTGTATAAAAAGCTTTCCGCCAGCGTCAATAATTAATTGAATATTTCCTTCTATACTTCTTAGCACGTAGCTATTTATTATTAGCATTATTCTTCCGACGTCTGATTTCTTTTTAATTATAGGAAATGCGTTTTTCTAAGGTACATAAACTTTTGGAATTGACTCTATAGCCAATACATCCTTAAACAGGGATTTGACTTATGCTGATCAGTTCCTTAAACAATTAGCCGATGTGTGGTCATACTCATCCGATTGTAATATATTATGATCTGAATCGAGTTTAGTTATCATTGCCGCTAAAAAGAAATGTAAACCTTTATGTGTCTCATGACGATCACGCGATGTATTCATGCTTAATGCATGAGTATTACGCATTCTTACAATAAGATTGCCATTTTTAAGGTCCATTTTACATGTTAACGTCAATGTTAATTTTGTACAATTAATATTATTAATGCACGGTTACATTAGACATACTCGGGCAATAATTATCAAATAAAAATCTGGTTTGCTGATCGTATGTATATTAATAGAGAACAAATACTACATGACGAAGTTGCGATATGTTCAATTTTTATCAATACCCAGAATCGCAGTCAACTTGTACACTGTCACACTTGACATGAAACACATGTTATGAATAATCTAATTACTAGACGACAGATAAAAAGACGAACATACGTTTTAAAAATACACAATTTTAATTACAATTGACAAAAATAAAAGGAATATCGGAAGTAAAGCGCTACTATGAATGATTTAATACTCTCGTGATGGATATCGTTCCACGTGTGCAGCATACTATGTATTATTCACAGATTTGACGTCACTCATCGAGCGCTATTCGGTGTAGCCCATATGACTGGCTTACATTAAAGTTATTACATGCACCAGTAACCGTTTACATTCTTCCTGGTTTCCGATGTTTTATGCGTGCCGCCCGTCACTGTGCTGCGTGCACATTTCAATGACTTCGTTCAAAAAAAATTATTACGCAAGGCATCGAACCATCTCGATCACTCATATAATGTGTAACGAATGAATTTTAATCGAGAATTAGTAAAAATTTTAGTATGTTACCGCAACAAAGATAATGATTGTATAACATCAAACTGAAGTCGATTATGCACGGCCACTAAGTTGGAATGCAGTCAATTAATTGCCAATGCAAAGTTCATTGCCGTTGAAAAATTTATTTTGAGACACACGAGACCTTGGCATTTCTATAATAAAAGATTTCTACTGTCGCCTAGAGCCTTACGTACGTGGCGAAAACGAACGCTCATATTGTTGCATAGTTCGATCGTTATTATCGTTGAATTTGATAAATATACGTAAAAAATACTGCATTATATACGCATGGGATTAAGCAGGTAAGTCGATTGTAAGTGATATCTTTGGAGCAGAGCGTTATCTTATCATTAATTCAGCGTGACCAATTGTAAGTAATAAATAAGTAAATAAAGCAATTTGTTAATACTTCATGATCACGAGATGTGACAGAATTGAGGATGTTATTTTATTGCCATCTTAACGTTACGATGGTCTCGAACAACATTTTAAAAGAAATCGCGCTTTGCTCTCAATACATTTACAACTTCGAGCTGTACGAGAGGAATTTCCTCTTTGCTCATATAAGGAAAGAGAAATTTACTGATATTATTAAAGGTCTTGAAGATCAGATGAAGGATCTCTTATACAATAGCGATGGAGTCTGCGATATGTAAAAGAATTTTAGCCTTTTTCAAATATTTGATCCTATTACATAACGTTTCAAATCATGTGAATCGAGATAACATTTTGTCATTACACTAGATTTTTAAGGTGTCTACGAGTCTGATTCTTGTAATATAAAATATTTATCAAAATCAAGGTGATTTAAGTTATTATTCGAAACAATTGAAGAGCTAAGATAAAAAAAAGTAAAGTCATTTCTGTTACTTGTTAAATTCGATGAAAGAGAAAATTAAGATACCAGCAATATTCTTTCATTGAAAACAATCATAAAATAGCATACCAGAAGTTGGTATGTTCGAAAACGTAAAATTAATCTTGATCCAACCAAAATAGACGTATTGGAAATATATTTGGCTGGCGTATTGCGAATATTACGAATAAAACTCGATAGTGTTCGTTATCTTTGATTGTATAACTTGTACGTAGATGAAGAGTATTACCAGATAGAACATATCCGTTAATTATAATTACTCCATTGAATTCACGCCATGTAATCATCAAATAGCGCTAAAATGATCGAGACGGGGATAATCAGACATGGTCCAATTTTTATTAACTAGCTTATTCTATTGCTACAAGTGGTACGTTTCCTTTTTCTTTACATTTATTTTAATCGGATTTTAATAAAAGGTAAGAATAGATCATGTAAATGTTAATAATAGAACAATTCAGCATTGTATAGAGAAAGAAAGATAAAAAGAGAATTCTATAGTACATANTATAGACATAAATTTTATAATAAAATAAATCTAAACTTACTTAGTTATAATTATTGTAAATAAATTTAATTACTAATTTAAATGACCATCAATTTCTGCAATATTCTATACGCACGATTGCATTGATCTAACAATAAGCCTACATACTTGCTTTCCTTCCCATGGAATTATATTAAAACATATTCTGTTAATTATTATTGGTCACTTTATATAAAGTGATAGTATGTAACCATTGTAACAGGATGTGTCGCTTATTGTACCCGATAAAATCCAGTTCAAATACAATGATAGCAAGTGAAAGGTACATATATGCATTGCATGATCACGTTGAAGTTAGTTTGGTAAGTAGGTGTTTGTCATGAACAGGTCGAAACAGGAATGGCCAATGCGAAATGTGGATCAAGAGAACAGATTTTGACCTTGGATTCGCGCTAAAATTAACGTACCTTGCGAAATTATAATATTGTTCACTACTGAATGGACATTTGTGTCGACGTAAGAGATTCTGAAGCACCTTGTATGCATTTTTTACAATGTTTGCCATGTACAAATGTGTGCTTGTGACCTTAGAATTGACGTAAAACTATTTTAGTTACGAGATTTAAATTTGGGTGTATCTACAGATACACGTGTTACAAGGACGAAACTAATTTTGCTTATTTTTCTTTATCTCGATGAATGGAACGTCCCAGGTTCTTTTTCTACGATTACATAAGATCGGGTTGAAAAAGCGTAAAGCAAATTGGTATTTAGTGACCGCCATAAATTCTGATGGATTTTCACTCTTTTTCCTAGCACTTTCACTGCAGGCATTTTTACGATGCAGGTGATATTCGCGTAAAAGAAAGCACTTGTATTAATACATTTCGACGACGCGAATCGATAAAATAAATTGACATTTTACTTTTTCACTTTTTCCATAAACGAGAAACATTAAAACTGAAGTAGTTTTTATTATTAATTTGCATTTAACGACGTTGATCATTAGGAACATTTTAAAAATTCCTTACGTAACTACTGTTAAACTTGGTCAAATTAATGCCAACTTTTGTCGGTCAGGTAAATCATATCGGTATTATATTTTTATTGTATGATTAGGACGAATAGACTTCACATTTATTTTTTTGTCAAGTGCAATGAATCAGACTAATGAGATGTCCCTGCATTAAAAGCATAGCTCCGAAATAATGTGCATTGTTGGAGCTTCGCAAAGGTGTTTCGGAACATACGCTCGATACGTCAGAGAACGTCCGACTCCAAATCTATCACGGTCTCTCAACCGCTTAAATCAATATGTACGCCCTACTTTTAACTTTATCAAATAATGTTGATTCAGAGATTGTTCTGGATTTACGAATTTATATATTGACAGTTTCAATAATATGAGTTACTAGAGTATCGGTCGATAGAACGCTTACTTGGTATCCAGAACCATAGCGTCCTGTCTCTTCACAGGCGAGCTATAAAGTTTTTCTGCGTCGAGACACATGAACGATAAAACTTGTTGGACTTATAAGGTTACCTATCCGAAGTAGGTATCGAAAAGTGTATTACTACGCAAATATTTATACTCCGAAAACACCTGCTGGCCATTCGAATTTCACACCGGAACAACGTGTAGCGATTTAACAATAAAAACCATTCAAATATCATGTACTAATCCAATCAATTTTTAGTAAATTCGTTCATCACGCACCTGAACTTCCAGACAACGTTTTGGATTAAAACGGAAGAGTGCCATTGTTCTTTATATCCTAGCTTATGGATCCTTATTTCTTGTTACCGTCACACCGACTATCCAACTGACCACGCGGAGCTCTGGCGCCCAACTCAACCAACTCCTCTTTTCGTTCGTCATGGATATTCCTACAACGCATGCGCCTAACTGCACAAGCGTCCTCAAAGGATCATCTGTGTCTGTATTTTGCATACATATACATACATGATATTAAAGATGTATGTACAATCTGCCACGTACAACGTACGACCGCAAAATGTTTGCAATCAATTGAATATTATAATATTTCAATAATATGCCGATATAGGGAATTTCAATCACTGGTAAATAAAATTTAATTTGCCGAGGAATGTAGTCACATCTAAATTACATCATTACATGTTAACATATATTTATAGAAAATATACGATATTAAAATATACAAATGCACGTAACGTATTTGTTATATATTTGTATTTCTTTCTCAAATTTTTTTAATTCAATGGCTTATTCATCGGTGGAAATTCTCTCGTCATTAAATAGTAGTGTGTTAAAAATACCAAGCTTGTTACAAACTTCGGATGACAACGATGGTCTGGAATTTACAGACATATGAAGAATGATAAATAATGCTGTGATATATTTGTATAATCTACTCACTTATTTAACGTAAAGAAATGAAACCCACGAGTAGTTCTGCTTGCAACAATTGTTTTTATAATACCTATAGACAATTCCAATCCATAATCTCGTACTTGATCTTCATTATCTTCTATGGAATGCAAAGCATTCAAAATAATTTGAGGTACTTTAACATTACAATGTTGGGTCAATTTTTCAAGACACGAATAACTGAATATTGGAAATATGCCTGGGATAATCAAAACACTGATTCCAATTTTCCTACAGTCATTTACAAAATTAATGAATACATGAGCTTCAAAAAAAAATTGTGTTATTATAAAATCTGCTCCTGCATCGACCTTTAAATAAAAGTAATGTTAATGTAATTATTTTAAATACGAGCCAACAAAATGGATATATTTACTTTCTCTTTCAAGTAAAATAAATCCATTTCTTTAGATGATGATTCTGGATGCATTTCTGGATAACCAGCAACGCATATACAAAATGTTTCGCCAAATTGGCTCCTTATAAAGCGTACTAAATCTACTGCATGCGGGAATTCTTCATTTGTATTTGGAGAATCTGAAATTTTACTCCTATAGAATTCAATTGATAAAGAAATTTCCACAAATAGATTCAAAGACTAAAAATAATTATAATTACCACCCCTTAATACAAAAATATTGCGTACACCATGATCTAATGCTTTCTTCAATATAGCTAATACGTCGATACGAGTTAAATCATTAGATCTGAGATGTAAAAGCGTATTTTTCGGAATTTCATTAAACATATCTAAGTACTGTATGTAACTTTCTGTTTCATCGTTTGTATGTAGCGTTATTGCATAAAAAAGTGGATGATGTATATTTAATTGTTTAAAGAGACTATTAACAAAAATTTGTAAACATAGAATACAAGTACATCACGTAGAATTTATTTTATAACACAACGAACAGTACGAACCTTTGATAAAGTTCAGTATTTTTTGAGCGCACAAGTTCGAAACTACAAAACATTGTATCCATAGCAATTATTTTATTTAATCTTTTCCTTAAATCAACTATTTCGATGCATTTAGTATCCATGAATTGAGGACACTTTGCAGTATTATCACATTCCTCACTGTCAAAAAACTCTTTATATCCTTCATTCTTTAATCGGTTCATAATTTCCTGCACTTTACAATTATAGAGAATACATTCCTCAATAATCTTCTTATTTCCGAGGCTATGTAAGAGTTCTGTTATCAGATTGCGCAACGTATATCGGTTTGATGTGGTGGCGTGATTTTCAGAACTCATTCGTACTTTATAAAATATAAAGATTTATTTTAGAAATTCAATTTTTACATTATCGCATCCTATAGTTCGCTTCCTTTAAAAGTTCCATAAACGTTAACAATATTTATTGCTTCTTTTCTTTGTTAAATATAATTTCCTACAGACTTCTGTTATTGGAATATCGAACACGGGCGGTATACCACCAGGAATAGTTTCTTTCTTAGGATATGAATGTTTATCTCTAATAGTTGCAATATCATTTATATCTGGAGTTATAGTCAAGTTTATAGCTGGATAAATAATAAATGCAAATGTAGCAAGTGCAGTTAAAGCCCAAATTGGAATCGCTACAGCCCAATATTTGGAAGGCCAATATGTTAATCCTAAGCTATGTAATATTTGATCTGGTATTACAGCCCATACTAGAAACAAAAGAAAAAGCATATTTGAACCTATGTACAAAGCATATCCATAAACAGATCTTGGTCCATACGGTGCTGGTGTATGCTCCATGTTACAGAGTCTAATAGAAATAGTTATTTAAAAAGAAAAGAACAATCAATTATTATTGGTCTAATAATAATCATAACTTGGTGCAGAAGGACCAAATTGCTGCATGGTTTCTGTTACCAAAATTAAATTATCAAAAAAAGATGTCAATGCCACTCGAACTTTCCTCGCTTCAGTCCCAGAAATCGATCTATAAAATGTTACGTACATTATGGCATTAAATTTACACATTATCAGCTACGAAACGGTAATGAATGCATGTAATAACTTACATATGTACTAAGTTATTATCTACTGTTAAATTCTTTATGACACTTCCTCTTGAAGGTTCTTTATCAACTCTTAGCACTTCATAAGCAATCTCTGCTTCTCTTTTTGATGGAAAAGGTATAGACAAATTTCTATACAAAATTAAGGCTAATTCGGTAATATTTGTTTTTCAAAGAGAATAAAATATCGTAACATAACTTATTTTGAAGGATACACACTAAGAGTGTTCATGACATAACAATATCAATACTAAATAAAGCATACACTAATACTTAAATTACGTTTTATACGATTAAAATTTCAGAATTTGTTATTCAACACAGTTTTAAGAACAAATATTTTAACCTGTTTTAACCACGTTGTCTACACGTACTGTATTACACTAGTGTAGTATGTATACAATAGTATACATATACAATGTGATTATACATACATTGTACTATATAAACACAAGATTGTAGAAGCTTGGCAGGCGGATTTGTAGTTCGTGAATGTAAATTTTTTAATAAAAATCAGTGTAATTTGATACGATCTCAACGTTATGGGCCGGCGAAAAAGTAAACGGAAGCCACCGAGTAAAAAGAAAGCCATTCAACCATTAGATACACAGTTCAATTGCCCTTTTTGCAATCATGAGAAATCATGCGAGGTTAAGATGTAAGTATAAATAAACAAATTAACAAGATTTTTACAATATCCAAATTGCGTATCTCATTACTTTCTGCTTTCATTTTCAGGGATAAGTCAAGAAATACTGCTAGAATTACCTGCAGAGTCTGTTTAGAAGATTTTCAGACTACTATTAACTTGCTTTCAGAGCCTTTAGATGTATATAACGATTGGATTGATGCATGCGAGAGTGCAAACTGAACAACTGAAATTTATTGTCAGAAGTATCAGCAAAAATTAATGCTGATAGTTTGATGTTTCTCAAACAATTAAACATTTTTGTATAGCAAAGATAGCATAGTTTGACATTTGTTATTAAATTATCAGCAATTGCATATACTTTGACATAAATGAATGGACATGAGAATTTATTTTACTTGTATTTTAATGTTATATTAAGATTTGACGTTTATTTTGCTATATTATACTAAGGCTTACTGCATTAACTTTAATATTTACATAGTTATACACATATTTCTTATACTTATTGACTAAGTATATGTATATACATGAATTTATCTTGAGTATAATAAGAATACTATGATTTGTGTAAGTGGAACATAAACACATGACATGTTTTTATTTTGTAAATTGTGATACACAGTATTGTAAATAAACTACATATAACATGACTAAAATAGTTCTTTTGGCAAATACTATATGTATGTAATGTTGATTGAGAACATTTATTAAGAATTTGAATAAACTAATTGTTTCATTAGGCACTAATAAATAGTAGGAAGTTCCGTGAATATAATTATAAATAATAGAAAGCCTATGAAGCTAATTACATCAATATTTTTAATGAACATAGCTTCGTTAACGATTAATTCAAATGAAAATAATAGTGTTCGTTAAAATAAAATAGACTATTGAAAGTAAAGGGTGGAAAAAAGCTGAAACGTGGGAACAAAGTCAGGAATCGCGGTGTCATTCCCTCGCGAACAGTCAGCGGATGTTTCATAGCGCAGCCAAGATGGCGATCCACCGAGTGGGATATGATTGTTAGAAAAAGTACGTGAAAAAAAATGCCGCGGAAAGCTTAAGAGCGACGCGTGCGAACTTGAGGGAAGTTTTGGTGGCACGGTGAATCTTCGTGGTCTCGTCATGCACCCAGGATGAGGAGATAATCGAGTATCCAGGTTGATACGATGCGTGCATTAACCCGAGACAAGGCTTGCTCGCTGTTCATTGGGCATTGCAGAGAACCGTGATCGCCGAGCGGCGAACAACGACGCTATGGCGTCTATCGAACGTGTGTATGTGTATGTCATTAGTTTTAATCCGCAATTAACAGCTAATTAAGCGGTCGTGTACGTGAACTGCAAGTCGAATTATACCTGTGCGGGATTCATACGAACGCCGGTTGCCAAACAACGTGATTTCCTAGTGTTCGTCGTAAAGCCAGATCGGCTCGTCCAAAAACAAACATTCTGAGGTGATTTCATTCATCCTGTTTGACAGCTCCTGGTCTAAATTACATATTTCGAACATTATGAGCACCTCGTACCGATTTGTTCTATTACCTAGCCACGAATTGAACTGTGCTTCCGCTACGACCATCTCATTAAAACAGTATGGTCCAAATCGCTGTCGATAGAGTTGTTCCCCAGCTCGAGAATGTGACCAAGCTGATTTCTCAACAAGTGTGTTTAATCGCAAGTGTTCTTACAATAATTCATAGTTTATATAATGTTTTTAAACACTTTGTTTTTCGAGAGTTTTATGCAATTTCAATGTTATGTCAACGCATGCAATCGTCTATGTAAACATTTTTTAATATACCTTTGTATTTATTCATTTCTGCTGTAATGTTTAGATATTTTAATATTGATATTGAGTAGATATTCGTTTACGTTGCTTTTTACGTAGCAAAATGAATTCATTTTTATATCCTGGTTTATAAAGTACAAATATATTATTGCATGTGTTTACTTTGTTTAAAGCGATACTGCATGTGATGCACCAATGTATTTCGCAAAAATGCAATTAAACGTCTTCATGTTATTGTGAAATATGTTTCGATACTAAAAATTTAATAAAACATTAAAGCTTTCAAATCATATTAAATATTTGTACAAAACGGAATGATCTTCGTATTACGTTATTCATTTTTTCATTCAGAGTAGTAATTTTTAATTCTTACTGTTTGTGTATTATTTTGTATTAAAGTATTTTTAGTTTTTTGGAAGTGATTTATAATCGTTCGTGCTCTCTAAGATTTGACTTACAGAGGAATGCATTTCTTATTGCAGGCATTAAAGAAAATATAATAACGAACAAATGCTTTAAGTGATGTAAAAAGAACCTTAGTGTTGCTTAGGACAGTGACAAGACATTCCATGATTGTATCCAAAATTTTAATGAGACACATCGTGACTTAATGGACTTTACACATCATGTCAAATAGTTTGGACAGTTTTTTAACACGTATTGGGGATGTCACTATAGAACGTGTGACTCCTCGTTCTGGCTCTAAGCCTAATGAAATAGCAATGTCAAATGAAACATCAACAAATACAAACATGAACAATGTAGAACCTCAAACAGGAAATGATGAAAGTTCAGAGGAATCTAGTGGCGAAACATCTGATGGAGAGCACGACAAGAAAAATGATGCACTGCAGTCAGAGGAAGTAGAAGAAATACGTTCAGAAGGTTCAGGAGACGATATGGATTTAGATGAAACAATTGATTCACAAATTGGCGTAAGAGTGGAACCAGAACGGCAGCATCATTCTCAACCTGAAGATGATGACGAAGAACCAGTTAATATATTGGATACTTTGCCATTGGAAGGTTCGTATAATAGTGATAGTTTTGAATCAAAATATTGAATTACATCTTTTTATTAATAATTATTGCATGCGTTAAAAGGAGCTCCCATAGAGGGTCAAGAGGTATCTGAAGCAGATTTACTTGGGAAACCAATTTTAAAAGATATAGATGATGAAGAAAGCATAGAACATGAGAATGACAAACATGAAGGTCATTCCATGGAAGAGGAAGGTGCAGAGGGTAATAAGAGACATGCTGATTCAGACCATTCTGATACGACCAAAAAAAAGCAGAAAAAAGATGACGGAACAGAAGGGTCTACATCAGAATGTGAATCAAAGGCAGAAAAGAAGTTAGCAAATATGAGGAGGAATATTAGAGAAGTCATGGATGAGACTCAACTCGATGAAGCTACATTATCAGCTCAAAGACAAGAGATGGAACGTCTTCGAAGGGTACAAGAACAGCAGAGAATTATCCGTGAAGTTCAACGGCAGATAGCAATAAATAGGCAGAACCATAAAACGCAAACAAGAGTGATTAGTCTTTTACAAGGAAAACAAAATCAAGCAGGCACTACTACTATTTCACAATCGTCATCCTCTCCATCTACGCCAGTCCGTTTGCCGAATACCGTGTTTCTTAAAGTAAATTCGGGATCTGGGTCTGGATCCCAAACTACTTCTAGTATGCCAGCGAATCAAATGCAAAGAAGATCTGTTGAAAGTACACGATGGCAAAAGGGTAGAGGCGTCTATCAAGGAGCGCAAACGTCAATTTCTCGAGTTGGAAATCGTGTCAGCGGACCTAATATGTTGCCACAAAGAATTCGAATGATGACACCTTCTGTGAGCATATCGCCTGTGGTTCCTAAAAAAGAACCGATCGATAGATCTGAATATTATTCAGATTCCGAAATGTCAGACGCAGAAGCTGAAGAAGTTCTGCGCGAGAAACAAATGCATGCCGTCAAAAAGGCATCGTTTAGTTCAAAATCGCAGAAAGCGCCGAAAGGCAAAGATGTGGTCACAATATCTAGTTCTAGCGAAAGTTCGGACGACGACTGTATAGTTTTAAGTGATCCGAGTGGAGAGGAAGAAACAGACAACGAAGATGATCCATCCAATTCTGGCATGCATACGAATGATAGATATAACATTCCAGATGAACATGGTAGAGTGTTGATAAACGTGGGTCATCCTGAAACAGAGCCTGATGTATATTTAGCTCCACAGGTAGCTCGTATTATTAAACCACATCAAATTGGTGGCATCCGTTTTCTTTATGACAATATTGTCGAAAGCATTGAAAGGTACAAAACTAGTTCTGGTTTTGGTTGTATTCTTGCTCATAGTATGGGTTTAGGAAAAACACTTCAAGTTGCTAGCTTTTGTGATATTTTTTTTCGCTGTACTTCTGCTAAAAAGGTACTTTGTATTATGCCTATAAATACATTGCAAAATTGGTTAGCAGAATTTAATATGTGGTTACCGTATGAGGATCCTAACGCTCCGGAGAAACAAAATAAAGGCTCGGTTCTTAAATCAGAGTCTAACATAGAGCTTAAACAAGAAGTTAAGGAGGAAAGTGGGAATCAGAGTGATATGTCAAATATGTCTAGTATGTCCAATGTCTCGAGGCCTATTAGTACGGAATCAGCACACCGTTTCGGGCAAGAAAGTGCATCCCAAACTATGAATATTATGTCAGAAAATCCGTATCTCCATCAGGGCTATGAAACTCATAATATGATGTCGTCTGGTTACGTACAGGATAATATGATGAGTAAAACCATGCCAGATTCGCAAGTGCACATGAATGAAAATTATCATAACGATATGCCACGAAATGCATTATATAATGCAACTCCAAATCCAATGCCAAATTTTGAATCGATGAAAACAGAAGTAAATTGCCATGGTATGCAACAGAGACAAAATATACGAGATGGTAAATACGGAGTTGAAAATCAAAATTCTGGTAACGTGTATCCTGGTTTAGAAAATCGGCCCCAGCCTTCTATATATACAGGAGTAGAATCTCGAAACCCTAATACATTATATCACGGGGTTGAAAATCATCCTGGGCCAATGTATCCTAATTACGATAATTCTACCAATACTTTCCCCAATTACACAAATCGATCAATTCAAGAATCAGATCAAGAATTAAGGAAAGATTGCTTTAAAAATGCTTTACCTCCTATGAATACAGAAGTTAATGTAAAAAGAGAGCCTGAAGAACCTATGAAAAAAGAAGAAGGTACTTGCACGACAAAAGAAGAGAACGTTAACGAAGAAAAGAAGGAAGTTGAGAAAGTTAAAACACCATACAGCATTGACTCCCCTATTGGTATGGAAATGAGACCACGACATTTTCGTCTGCATATTTTGAACGACTCCCATAAAACGATGACAGCAAGGGCGAAAGTAATTCATGAGTGGCAAGTTGATGGTGGTGTGCTGTTAATTGGATATGAATTATTCAGACAATTATCTCTTAAAAAGCCAAACAAAGCGAAAAGAAAACGCGGGCAGCCCTTCAAGGATACTGTTGATGTCGAAGAGGAAGACAAGAACAAAGGATTATTAGATGAAATGCATGTAGCCTTAGTCAATCCAGGACCTGATCTGGTCATATGCGACGAAGGGCACCGAATTAAAAATTCTCATGCTAGCATTAGTATGGCTTTAAAACAAATGCGAACAAAACGTAGAATTGTACTGACTGGTTATCCATTACAAAACAATTTACTGGAGTATTGGTGCATGGTTGATTTTGTAAGACCAAATTATCTGGGTACTAAAAGTGAATTCTGTAACATGTTCGAGAGACCAATTCAAAATGGTCAGTGTATTGACTCGACACCTCAAGATATACGTTTAATGAGATATCGCGCACACGTTTTACATGCCTTGTTAGAAGGTTTTGTACAAAGAAGGTCCCACTCCGTATTGCAGATTTCCTTACCGCGTAAGGAAGAATACATTCTTCTTGTTCGGATGACAACGCATCAGCGGAAATTGTACGACACCTTCATGAATCAAGTAGTTAAAACACGAGCTGTACCTAATCCATTGAAGGCTTTCGCAGTGTGTTGTAAAATTTGGAATCATCCTGATATTTTGTACCACTTCTTACGTAAACGGCAGGCTAATGAAGAAGATGATTTAGATTTAGAAGAAACAATTGGTGAGAAACCTGCTCCTGGAGGTAAACGGTCAAAAGCTCGACAACCAAAAGGAGAGTCCAAAAAGGGAAAGAAAACGAATACAACTATAAAAAATAAACCAGCCGCTAGTGTGCAGCCCAATGCCTCCTCGTCATCCAACACTGATAATGCTGAAAATGATAATTCACGTAATACTCCTAAACAAGGTAACTATTCTAATTACCCTCCTATGACGATGCCTAATTCCAGCTATACAAATTCTGTGCCACAAAATTCTTATCCTCATGGCTATCAGAACTATAGATCGAATGATCAAAACACATATTATAGGAATGATAATAATCATACGGAGTATAATGAATTTTACAATAATCAAGGATCACAGAGATATGGAAATCAGTCATTTCAAACATATGCACAAACGCCAGGATACAGTACATCACAAAATTATTCTCAACAGCCACAAAATTACATGCCAAATAATGAACAGCCTACAAATAATATTTCTCAAAGATATCCAACAGCTCCCAGTAATTCAGAATTTCGTCCGGATCAAAATCAAGGGAATAATTACGATGTACCTGGGATGTTTTCACGTCCGTCTTATCCTTATCAAGATCATGGACACAACTATGGATCAAATTTGAATCAAGGATCTAATAATTATTCTCAAATCCCTAATCAATCTTCTTTCCAATCGCAAATGCCAAATCAGTCTGCCAACATGCCGCTACCAGATTATTCGCCGTATGCAGCAAATCAGACTCAGAATTATAATTCTGGGACAGGTCAAACAAATAACATGTATTCACGAAATGACAGCCAGACATTACAGAATTCTACTTTGGCGTACAATGCAAATCAACAAAATCAAAATTCAACGTCTCAAACACCAACAAGCGGATATCTTCCAAATCAGCAAGGGCAAAGTGCAACACCCGGTCAAAATCGTGGTTTTTCACCTAATCAACAAAGTCAAAATCTTCCTTTACAAAGTTCTTCGCATACTTACGGTGGTTCGCAATCACAAAATATACCAATACCTAATCAGCCACACAATTATCCCGCTCAGGTAAATTCAAATCCTTCGTCACAAACATCGCTTGCTTTCAATCAACAATCTCCAAATCCTATGTCACAAAATCAATCTAATCCGTACATTTCAAATTCGTCTAATCAAACTCCAATTCCACAAAACCAAATTCGTGGATATTCTACATCAGCTCAGAACCAAATGAACGTGCAGCAAAATTCCTCGTATCCTCCTAATCAATTAGCCCCAAACGTACCCACGCAAGCACATGGGTATTCTCAAGATCAACAAGGACCAGTGTCTAATACGCAAAATAGTATGCACGGATATTCACATCTTGTTTCTTCAACAGCACCACAAAATCAATCTTATCCATCCAACGTACAACAAAACCAAACAGGAACAACGTCAAATACGAATCATGCTTATAATTCTAATCCTCAAGGTTCAGCGCCGATAGCTCCTACTCCAACTCATAGGTACGGCAATTCTCAACAAGGACAAATGCCACAACCCCAGAATCAATCTCATCCATACTCTCAAAATCAGCAAGCACCGACCTCTTTAAATCAAAGCGATCAAATGTATCCCAGGTCGGATAATCAACAACAAACTCAGAATTATGCGCCAACGGCTAATGCTTCGCACGAGTTTTCAACAGATCGTCAGAGCAATAGTTCATCAACTAATTCTACGAATAATTATCCAGTGAATCAGCCGCCGCCTCAAAATGCTGTATTATCGAATTATCCATCAGATAATGCTCATCAAAATCAAGTAAATCAAATGAAAGGTTCGGAGGATCCTTATTGGCAGAGGAATTATTCTCAATCATTTCAATCTGATCAGTGTAACGATCCTTATTATCGGGATGTAAACCCTAATATGAATCGATATCAGAGTAATTATTTCCCACCGCAGAATTATCAAAATCAGTCTTATAATTACAATAATAATAATCACAACATGGATATCAATGCGCGAACAGAAGATTCAAAAGTTCCACAGCCTACTACTCATGCTCAAAGCTCGGCATCTTCTGAGAAGAATAAAAATAACAAAGAAATGACATCAAGTATCGGTGTCCAGAGTCAACCAATTCATCAGAATAATTTATCTTCAAGCTCGGGATATAGTTCCGAGTCAAATTGTCAAACTCCAGTACCTAGGTCTATGCAAACTCTTAATTCAGTACACAGTCCTCGACTAAATCAAAATGATTTGGTAAAAGAGGAAGAAAAAGATAAGGAAGATCTGTTAGATAAAGAAAAAGAAGATAAGTCGGACGATGAGATTCTTACAAAAGATGAGGAAAAGGATTGTAAAAGTTCTCCAGGGGCAAAAGAAGATCCTGGTATCCCTTATGATTGGGTAAGTCCAATTTAAAATAAGTACGTAGTATTATTAAAAGTTACAAATACTTAATTGATTTCTTAAATTTACAGGCTACAGAATTAATGAAGGGCTATGTACCAGGATTAATTGATGCATCTGCTAAAATGACATTATTCTTTTGCATTCTAGAGGAAGCAATTAAACTCGGTGATCGTGTTTTAGCTTTTTCTCAATCGTTATTTACATTGAATCTCATAGAAGATTTTTTAGCAAGAAACAGTTTGAAACATCCTGATGGACAAACAGATGCTTGGATTAAAAATGTAAATTATTATAGGCTGGATGGTAGTACTAGCGCCCTAGAGAGAGAAAAGCTTATCAATGAGTTTAATAATAATCCAAAAATTCATCTTTTTTTGGTTTCAACGCGTGCCGGTTCACTCGGTATTAATCTTGTTGGCGCTAATCGTGCCATTGTATTCGATGCTTCTTGGAATCCTTGCCATGATACGCAAGCCGTCTGTAGAGTATACAGATACGGGCAACAGAAACCTTGTTTCGTTTACCGTTTAGTTACTGACAATTGTTTAGAAAGGAAAATATACGACAGACAAATTAGCAAGCAAGGAATGGCGGATCGTGTAGTCGATCAATGTAATCCAGATGCACATCTTTCGTTGAAAGAAGCAACTACCTTATCTTGGGAGTGGGAAGAAGATAGTCAAGTACAAGACTTCTCTCAATCGAAGGACAGTTATACTGATGAAGTTATGCATCGTGTATTAGAACTTCATTCTTCGCTATTGACGAAACAGCCATTTCATCACGAAAGTCTTTTGGTCGATAGAAAAGATAAGAAACTTAGTCAAGCCGAGAAGCGACTGGCCCGTCGTGGCTACGAGCTTGAAAAAATGGCAGCCAATTGTTCCAGGCCTAGTTATAATTATGTTCCCGGAAATACGGCCACCAGGGGTACGATTCATTTCGAAATATAATTACTCAAGAACATTTATAGTCTTTATAAAGTTATATGCATCTCTTATACTACTTTATTGTAGCAGGTGGATTACAAATTCGAGCAATTCGAGGAGGTGATACTAGTACTACTTCTAAACCCGTCGCATCAGTAAGACCGATGCAACAACGCGGTGCTGAAGGTTTGGGTACGCGTAACGTAACAGGAAGTCGATGGATTCCAGCCGAAGTATGGCAAAGGCAAGGAATGAGCGCGCAAGAAATGACATTACCTTTAGATGTCGTTATTCCTACCAATTCACCTGATAAAGGAAGTATCGTGTTAAAAGCCGGTCAACGAGTAATGGTGCTAAAAAGTCCAAAAGGCATATACATGCAACTAGAATCTGGTAAAATTATCGCTATTCGAACTGCTCTTAAACTAAATCAACAAAAGCGGGAAGAGGAGCCGAAGAAAGGTACGTTACTATCTGAATTTAAATATTATTGATATGATTATGGTTCCATCTGTTCAATTAACTTTTCTTATTGAACTATTCGTAGGTGTAGCATCAATAGCGCAAAGAAATTCGAAACCTGAAGTTGGATTCCCATTGAGGAATAATTCAGCGATTTCTATAATACCGAAGTCTTCTTCCAGCAATCAACCGAGTGCTCGTTCAATTAATAAACCAGGAAGCGGCCCTAATTACAGGCCATTTGCTGATAAAGAAGCTTCGAAAAGACCGAAACCTGTTGCCACCGCGACTGCTAAACCTTATTTAAGTCAAGTTAACTTGACGAATCAAGTTTCTTTGCACAGGTTATCAAAAGTAAAGCAAGAACCGGTGGATCATTCAACATTAGGAGAAAATTCAAATTCGTCAGACGGTCAACTTAGAACTGAACAAAGAGTGGAAGAAGTCAGATTAGAGGATGTGGTCGCGGAAGTGAGTTCGAATACAGCCTACAGTCCTCCTAATCATAACCGTGTAACAAATTCAGACACTGACAATCCTGTACAAAAATCATCTGAGGAAAATAATCAAGTATATACTCCGGATTCCGTATCTGCGCAAGGTGTCCAAACACATGACCACGCGGAAACGAAATTGCCGTCAAAGATTGATAAGCAGTGTTCTACTCCAATTGAGAAAGAAGTAACAAAAACACGTGCAACTGACACGTTAGCAAATTACGAGCAAGGTTTCCAAACTCAATCAGAAAAAAGAGATATAGCTAATGATGAAATTATAATTGAAGATCCCCCATCAGTATCATCTCAAGCACAATCGCAAATACCATCTCAAATACCACAGCAGGTACCTCCGCAAGTGCAAACGCAATCATTACAAGTATCACCGCAAGTACAGTCACAACCAGCGCAGTTACCACCACAGGTACCATCTCAGATGCCACCGCAGGTACCACCGCAAGTACCACCTCAAATACCACCTCAAGTACCACCTCAAATACCACCGCAGGCATCACCTCAGATTTCATCTCAATTATCAACGCAAGCGCCACAACATATACCACATCAAGCATCGTCCCAAACACCACAAGTTGCTACGCAATCGACGCTAGCTGCTGCTCCATTGCCTTCGTTACTATTGACCCAGCAGCCTACACCATCGGCTATGCAAATACCATCAACACCTACGTTAAGAGATACGGAAGTCTCCAAAACTATAACAGATTCAAGTATCGGCTCTTCTGCAACATCCGTATGTACTGAAACAAATACAATAACAACTGCAAAAACAGCAGAACCAAGTATGCGTGAAACTTCTATACAAAGTGAACCACCCAACGTTCCACAAGGCTATCTTTACGCTCAATATCCACGATACTACGATTATAGTGATCCACGATCAAGATCATTATCTACTCCTTATGGTACATACTTCCCTGGTGTTCCACCTCATGCAGCAAATCCTAGGCTACCAATGGATACTGCTAAGACGCAAACAGACTTAGCAAAACCGATCGAAGAGAGGACGATGATGAATGTACCTTCCGCATATTCGCAAATACCTAATACAACTGCCAAAACAGTAGCCAATACAACGGAAACAAAAGGTGCAGAAGCAATGGTGACTACGACAATTGCTGCTACTCCCACTAGAGACGATACGCACATACCTACTGCGTTTAGTCATCCAACGAGTAGTCGTTACCCTGGACCGTATCCTCCAGGACCGTACGATCCATATTCACAACACTACCCTCCTGCGCCTGCCTCTTCTGCGACGTATCCACCGGCTGGTGAGTTAAAATTTTGTTATTTTACGTTTATCGATATATTTGCGTTGAACATTTGTGTTGAAACTAAGATTGTAAAGTAGGTGCTCCCGGGTATCCAACATACGGTGGACCGAGCTACAACACGGATTACGCTCGGATGTACACAGCATTTCATGGCCCTCCTCCGCCGACTGATCCATATATACACAGAGGTTACGCACCCCCTTCTTCGCATCCGCCAAATTATTATCCTTCCTTCCCACATCCACCGCCGCCTTACCCAAATTATTCATTTTTGTCTCCATATCCAAATCCCAATATACCTAGCGAGCCACAACCACCTGCTCAGTAGAAAACTGAGGTGGTATAATGAATAAACAATTAGTTCAATAATAATTTCGTATATAAAATGTTGCATACTGCGAAAGTTCAAAGGCTATCGCGATTCAGAAGCTTAATAGACTGAAGCTGTAAAACGCATTGATGTAAATATTTAGTCACAAGTATTATATTAAGATAAAAGGTACTTTTGTTTAAAAAGTACCGTGTTCCGTGTCGAAGGACACGAGATAATCTCAATTAACTTCGAACTGTGCAATTTGTTGAAACGTTTAGAATATTTAGCCTTGACTATCATGTCGTTTTATGATGCGTTTATTTGATTAAACAGTTATCAGTGATGAGTACAAATAATTTCTCAATTTGATATTCCATAGCTTTTTACATAGGAATACTTGACCTTCACATACAATGTAACCATTTCGGTTATAATTTGTATGATATGAATTTTACTTCTTTTATTGTAATTTTAACATTAGAATATTTTTTTAATTTTTAAGCATTTTACTGTTTTAAATCATTGTGTTTCTATTGATGAAAAGCTTAAAGATAAGGATGGTTCTAGGGGTATTAAATGAGAAATAATTTGTATTTTTTACATGGATAATATCAAGAAAAAAGGAATGCTGTATACTATTGTTTAGCTTTGTGTATAAATTAACTGCACTTTTATATTCTGTAACCAAAAGCAGGGAGGTATCATTCTGAACAAGCGTAATACTCAGAAAATAATATAAAATATAAGAGAAGAGTAAAAGCATTCATTAAATTTTATACACCAGCATTCCATACGCATCTTCGATTTTATATATACAGTGAATAGAAATACACGTAACGTCGTTTTAAAATCAATTGACTTTTTGTATGAATTAATTTGTAAAGAGTGATGGATCATTACGTATTAATGATATTGTTTAAAGATATATTTAAAAAATGTACTAATACTTTTTGGGAAGATTAGGTACATTAAAAATTAATATTTTTAATATTACGATTAAATCATGTATAATTTACGAAAGAGCATTTTTTATTACATGCTATTCATCACTCTGTCATAGAAATAAATTGGAGACTGCGCATCGTTACTTCGGTTTCCATAGATACAATATTTAATAACTAAATAAAGGATTCGGCTTCATTTACATCATATGCTCTGGATCTTTGTGTCGCATCTGAATTTTTACATACATTACTACAGTATTCACTTGGAACATTTAGCAGCCAGTATACAGTTTACAGCATCCTTAGCAAGTTGTATATGACTATGTATTACCACTAAACGTTACTTCTGAATATGAATTTCTGAAATAGATATTCTCAAAGTAGCATGTAGGATTGTTGTTAACTAGGATGTCTCTCTTACAGTTCATGACTGTCTCGGAATACGAATAAAATGAGGGATTAGGGAGAACCATGATTCTCAGAAGCGACTTCTCAAACTCGGAACTGTGATATTTTGTCATATTCTCGTGTAACATTTTTGCTTGTACATTTTTTATTTAGGGTCAAACTTTGACTTTGACCCTTGCATAAAATTAAGGCGCGAATGATGTTAGCGTATTGAATTGGTATTGTGTATTTATGTTAATGCAAGTCAATCGGGAGTATGAGCACGAGATTTTTAATCAATTTTCCAAGTCGGGGGTATAGAGCCGCACGCGTGTTTATCATGGTGCTCCCTTTTAAACATATAGGCAAATTATGATAGAAAATAAGCACTCACGCTGGATACTATTAGTATGTGTTTCTGTATTGAATCTGTCGCGTGTTTGCTAGAAAGGGGGAAACATTGACATCTTACACAGTGTGTATGTACGTGTTGTGATTGCACGTTTTCTAGATTTTAAGTGTACAGGTTTTACACGTGACGTGAATATTAACTTAAGATTGGTAAGATGTACATCCGCAAACAGACGACAGAATTCCATTGCTAAATACATACGAGATTATATTTACGAAAGATGAAATGATTATTTTGACTCTGTTATAGCTTTTTTGCCATTTACATACTTGTAAATACCCATTATTTACATTTCATACTTTATTTATTACTATACATTATCCATTATCACTTTCTGATGTCAGAGAATTGCTCTTATGTAAAATAAATTGTTTACATGGATCAAGATTGGTTTGATTGTAGTATTGCTATGCAGACAATATAAATACATACGCATAGAATTAATAACTTAATACTTATATATCGGATTAATAAGATTGCAATTACGAAATGAATCTATCCGTAAAAATTTCATTATCCTTGCGGAAGCACGAAAACCTCCTTGATTACATCGTTTCGTTGTATGCACATTATGCGATTTAATGTGTCAAGTACGAGTTAGGTTTATTAAAAAGTTATAATTGA